CCAAATAGGTATACCATTATAGCCTATAAATACGTATTCGGCATTCAACGTAGTCCCTGTTCTTTTCTTAAGTTTTCTTACACTCGTTTGCGAAGCATGATCCACATAAAGCTGCAAACATTCAACTTCTTCAAAGCCGATCATTATTTCCTCCTCCTGACTTGTATCAATAGTACACGTTACATGACCTCGCTTTGTCTTTCGCTCAAAACGGTCATTGAAGTCGTCCAACATTATGGCTAGAACAGTCCTTTCTGGGACACCTGCTTTCTTCATAATAACACTAACAGTATGGTGAAGAAAAAGATAATATTCCTCAAATTTCAATTCTTGAACACCTGTTGACAAAACCCTTTTAATGATATCTACGACGAACTCATTGTCAATTTTTTCCCATTGAACTTTCTCTCGGCAATGGTTTGCAGAATTTGGATTTCGTCGTTTTCCTTTACATGTATGCACTGAATTTGTATGCTGTTTTCTGTATTTACATCTCGGTTTTTCATCTTCATCATCTTCAGAAGAAGACGAACCATTAAAACATTTGTGCTTATGTGTATAGATGTGTAGTTTTTTTTCTCCAGAGAGTGCGAGATTGTCCGTTGTAAAAGAAACAATTAAATTTCTGCATTTTCTTACAATTAATTCCTGATTTGTACTTCGGACAAATGGGCTTTTTTCATAAACGTTGCTTAAATTCTGTGTTTCTTGATGTAAAGCCATAACTTGAATATGAGGATTTTTAAAAGAAACATTATTGGGAAAACTATCTATATCTATATTGTAAATAGGTGGTTTTAAATTTGCCATCAGATAATTATCTGCTCCTGACAAGTCCGTTCGCTCTGGTTTCAAAGGTGGTGTCCTGCAAAGCAAAATTAAACATAATAAAATATTCTTATTTCCAGACACATATATGCTTCAGAAAATTTATTTTTATTTTATCACATCGGCACCGTTTACATGTTGTGAAAAGCTAAATTTAAAAAGGGAAACCAAACAAAATTGCCCGGATAATAATTTGTTGATACACAGTATTGCGTAAATATTTCAAATAATGAGTAGAATGCACTACGATTTGCCAATCCGCAGGTGAATTAGACCCAAATCATAAACGATGGATTGGTTCAGTACACACATTTAACAAATCGATACATGCTACAGCAAAGCTAACCCTATACAATGTTGTATATATTAAAATATTAATTTAATATTTTGTATGATGGTTTCTTACCTCATAAATTGCCTAAATTTTGACAACGCTAGATTGTCCATACGAGCTTCAAGTGCAGTTTCAATTTGTGAAGGTTTTGCTTCAGAACCCATGAGTCTAAGCCATTTTTGGAACAAATCAAAAAATAATTCCGAAGTTGCTCCATTTATGCTTAGTTTAATATGCTCAATGATTGAATTAGTTGTCTTGCTACCCATTAGCAAGTAAATGTTTCGCACATAACCTTCAATTGAAACATAAGTTATTTCAATATTTTTTTACTTCGATTCTATAAATCATATAATTACTTTTTTTCATTCTTACTAAAAGGTACATGTGCATTGTTTTAAAAATTGTGCAATGTCATTTGTTTATTCATTACAAGTTTGTTACTTAGAACTTCGATTATAGGATGCAAGTCTAGTTAAGCGAAAGATATTTACTTAAATTGATGAATCCAATAGGAGGAATAGCGACGTTGTCACAAAATATGCCCACTACAAAAGTTTTGGCGATAAGAGATGTTGGCGATAAGAAGTGTGACAAGCAAGGTGGTCGCTAAACATATTTTTATATTCTAATTGGAAATTGTACCTCTACGTTGTGATGCCTTGACTTTAGTTGCATATGCTCAACGTCATGAAGATGAAAATTTTTGCAAAATAATATAAAAATTCCTCAATGCATGTACATTTTGCTTTTGAAGTGACCTTGACCTTTGTCATAGAAACCTGTTACATGAGCAGGGCATTACGTTTCTCAGCACTAAATATTTCTATAAATTGACATTAAAATTACTCCATGAATGTAGGAGATATGAAAAATCTGGAAAATATCTTGATAATTAATCATCTCTCGTGACCTTGACCTTGCAAACATTTCCCTAGATTGTATGTGTCCCAGCCGTTTTCATGAGAGTAGCCATTAGTGTTACAATTCATCAATAAATGATTGTACAAATGCTCATATTTATATCTGAACATTGACATCTATGTGTGACATTGACTTTGGTCGCAAGGACCTGAATTAAAATCCCGTGTGAATTAAAAAGTTTTGCTCCGAACAAAACGCTTTCAAATAAGCTTTTAAGAATGACATTGACCATCGTCGAGCACAAACGGATGATTAACATGCAATCAGGCCGTGGGTGAAATATATCGATTTGCGTCGATGTACAGTAACAGATGAATAAAATATCGACCAAAAAATTCGCTCGCGTATAACAGAATTAATATTCTTCAACCACGAAGGTACAAACTATCAATGACAATAAATTATCAATGGTTTTTTTTTGCAGGAAATCGTTCATAATCTAAATATTGATTTTTTACGCATCTGAATGTATTACCGAATGTCGGACAGAACGAGCGTTTTGATAGATGTCTTTGACAGGATATTACCCCAAAATCCCATGGATGATATATGTTTAGGTTTGGCTGTGGGTGTCAGACGATGAATTTTCAATAAAACATTTACCAAATTAGACCTTATTTTCCTTTAAATATCAAATATTTACATGGGTTGTCATTTTTCAAATAATAGTTTACATCTAATACCACGTGGTAAAACTACTTTTAATCCATTAGTCCGAGGTTAATATTAATATTAGCCAAGATGTACTGATCGTAAAATTTGGGCTTAAATGAAAAAGGGAGTGTTACACTTAAAAAATTTGAATGAAAAATTGACTTCTATTTGAATGAAATGATTTGTATCATAGGTCTTAGCTATCACTTAAGCGAATGAGTTTGTTAGTTCTTATATCTTGTTCCAGGATTAGTTCTTGTTCTGTTGAGAACATACCGAATAGCTCTACAAAAAACAGCTTCCATGTTGAAGGTTCTATAATGTTGACAAGGAATGTAAAGACTTTATTCCAATCCAAGTCACCTGAAAATAAAAAAAAAACTATTGAAATTTATTCATTTAAATAATTTGAGATTTGCTACCTTTTGAAGATTTCACATATTTTATGACAATGTTACAAGATTGAATAAACCTTTTATAAACAAATATCACATTATGTTTTATATCTGACTTTTATACAGCTTAAATTATTTTTGAACATTTATGATTTGGTACATTTGAAACATTAATATCCTTATTGGTCTAAAATTTTAATTTAAAGAGTTCGGAGTATAATACTGAATTAATCTATTTGTTTTTACTGATCTTATTTCAGATGAGCAAAATTATCGATTAGTAAGGAAGCAGTGCTTACCTGAAGGTATCGGCTCGTGACCAAAATCCTTATCTTGTCTTTTATCTGGAGCAAGTAAAGGCTGATCTTTAAATACTCGTGGTAAAGTCTCAAGAACACTTCTTTCTTGTTGAAGTTTTCTGAAAAACAATTAAGATGCATTGATTAGTCTAGGTCATACTAGAAGGGAGAATGAAAGCGTTATTAATTTGAGTTTATATAGGTGAAAACCAGACAGCTTCAATGCTAGTGTTGCATCTTGATTTCTAAAATTGAAATTCTTCAAAAATCTTAATGCAGTTATGTAAGCAGCGATATGATTTACGTAAGACATGCGCGTCCAAATTCAAAAGAAATATACCGACACCTTAGTACAGCAGCGGTTTTACTCTTATTAAATATACTACACTGAGGATTTTTGACATGTTGGGACTAGTAATATTTTTTTCCGAGATTTATGTACTACCATTTGAAGAACGTCTGAATCAAAAACTAGTGTGCAAATTTTAATTTGTTTACTCACACCGGTTTTCCAAAGCAATCATATTCATTGTGAAAATTACCTAAATATTTTAAAGCGTTAGAATGCTTAATTAATTCCTGATTTGTACTTCGGACAAATGGGCTTTTTTCACAAACGTTACTTAAATTCTGCCTTTGTTGATGTAAAGCCATAACTTGGATATACGGATTTTTAAAACAAACATTATTGGGAAAACTATCAATATCTATATTGTTAATAGGCGGTTTTAAAATTGCCATCAGATAATTATCTGCTCCTGACAAGTCCATTCGCTCTGGTTTCAAAGGTGGTGTCATGCAAAGCAAAATTAAACATAATAAAATATTCTTATTTCCAGACATATATATGCTTCAGAAAAGTTCTTTTTATTTTATCACATCGGCACCGTTAACATGTTGTGAAAAGCTAAATTTAAAAAGGGAAACCAAACAAAATTGCCCGGATGATAATTTGTTGATACACAGTATTGCGTAAATATTTCAAATAATGAGTAGAATGCACTACGATTTGCCAATCCGCAGGTGAATTAGACCCAAATCATACACGATGGATGGGTTCAGTACACACAATTTACAAATCGATACATGCTACAGCAAAGCTAAACCTATACAATGTTGTATATATTAAAATATTAATTTAATTATTTTGTATCATGGTTTCTTACCTCATAAATTGCCTAAATTTTGACAACGCTAGATTGTCCATACGAGCTTCAAGTGCAGTTTCAATTTGTGAAGGTTTTGCTTCAGAACCCATAAGTCTGAGCCATTTTTGGAACAAATCAAAAAATAATTCCGAAGATGCTCCATTATTGCTTAGTTTAATATGCTCAATAATGGAATTAGTTGTCTGCCCATTAGCAAGTAAATGTTCGCCATAACCTTCAATTGAAACATAAGTTATTTCAATATTTTTTTACTTCGATTCTATAAATCATATAATTACTTTTTTTCATTCTTACTAAAAGGTACATGTGCATTGTTTTAAAAATTGTGCAATGTCATTTGTTTATTCATTACAAGTTTGTTACTAAGAACTTCGATTATAGGATGCAAGTCTAGTTAAGCGAAAGATATTTACTTAAATTGATGAATCCAATAGGAGGAATATATGTATAACAAGAGCGACGTTGTCACAAAATACGCCCACTACAAAAGTTTTGGCGATAAGAGATGTTGGCGATAAGAAGTGTGGCAAGCAAGGTCGTCTCTAAACATATTTTTATATTTTTAATTGAAAATGTACCTCTACGTTGTGAGACCAACGGATGACTTTAGTTGCAGGGACCTGAACTAAATGCGCGACGCTCAACGTCATGAAGATGAAAATTTGTGCCAAATAATATAAAAATTCCTCAATGCATGAAGAATTTTACTCTTGAAGTGACCTTGACCTTTGTCCTAGAAGCCTGTTACGTACGCAGGGCATTACGTTTCTCAGCACTCAATATTTCTATAAATTAACATTAAAATTACTCCATGAATGTAGGAAATGTGCTCTGGAAAATATCTTGATAATTAATCATCTCTCGTGACCTTTATCTTGCAAACATCACCCTAGATTGCATGTGTCACAGCCGTTTTTAATAAGAGTAGCCATTAGTGTTACAATTCATCAATAAATGATTATACAAATATTTATATCTGAACATTGACATCTATGTGTGATCGCAAGGACCTGAATTAAAATTCCGTGTGAATTAAGAAGTTTTGCTACGAACAAAACGCTTTCAAATAAGCTTTTAAGAATGACATTGACCATCGTCGAGCACAAACGGATGATTAACATGCAATCAGGCCGTGGGTAAAATATATCGATTTGCGTCGATATACAGTAACAGATGAGTTAAATATCGACCAAAAAATTCGCGTATAACAAAATTAGCATGCTTCAACCACGAAGGTACAAACTATCAATGACAAAAAGTTAGCAATGTTTTTTTTTAAGGAAAACGTTCATAATTTAAATATTAATTTTTTACGCAGCTGAATGTATTATCGAATGCCGTACATAACGAGCGTTTTCATAGATGTCTTTGACAGGATATTACCCCAACATCCCATGGATGATAAAATGTTAATGGTTTGGCTGTGGGTGTCAGACGATGAATTTTCAATAAAACATTTACCAAATTAGACCTTATTTTCCTTTAGATATCAAATATTTACATGGGTTGTCATTTTTCAAATAATAGTTTAAATCTAATACCGCGTGGTAAAACTACTTTCAATCCATTAGTCATAGGTTAATATTAATATTAGCCAAGATGTACTGATCGTAAAATTTGCGCTTAAATGAAAAGGGAGTGTTACACTAAAAAAATTATAATGAAAAGATTGGCTTCTATTTGAATGAAATGATTTGTATCATAGGTCTTAGCTATCACTTAATCGAATGAGTTAGTTAATTCTTATATCTTGTTCCAGGATTAGTTCTGGTTCTGTTGAGAACATACCGAATAGCTCTACAAAAAACAGCCTCCATGTTGAAGGTTCTATAATGTTGACAAGGAATGTAAAGACTTTATTCCAATCCAAGTCACCTGAAAATAATAAAAAAAACTATTGAAATTTATTCATTTAAATAATTTGAGATTTGCTACCTTTTGAAGATTTCACATATTTTGTGACAATGTTACAAGATTGAATAAACCTTTTATAAACAAATATCACATTATGTTTTATATCTGACTTTTATACAGCTTAAATTATTTTTGAACATTTATGATTTGGTACATTTGAACATTAATATCCTTATTGGTCTAAAATTTTAATTTAAAGAGTTCGGAGTATAATACTGAATTAATCTATTTGTTTTTACTGATCTTATCTCAGATGAGCAAATTTATCGATGAGTAAGGAAGCAGTGCTTACCTGAAGGTATCGGTTCGGGACAAAAATCCTTATCTTGTCTTTTATCTGGAGCAAGTAAAGGCTGATCTTTAGATACTCGTAGTAAGTTCTCAGGAACATTTCTTTCTTGTTGAATTGGTTTATTATTCGTTTCTTTTCGAGCCATAAAATAATTTTGAGAAGGAATTTCCTTTTCCATTGTCTTGTCATTTGCCAATATATCGGAATTTTCTGAAACATCTTCTGAATCTGTAGAAATCCATGATTTAGGGTAGGTTATTGTACCATCATAAAAACCTATATCATGTACATATTCTTGCGAATCTATGCATTTGTCACTTCCAAAGCTATCTCCAGTTTCGTCTATGTATTGTAGATACCCAAGTTTACTGAAAAACAATTAAGATGCATTAATTAGTCTAGGTCATACTAGAAGGGGAATGAAAGCGTTATCAATTTGATTTAATATACGTGAAAACCAGACTACTTCAAGGCTAGTGTTGCATCTTGATTTCTAAAATAGAAATACTTCAAAAATCTTAATGACATTATGTAAGCAGCGTATGACATAAGTTTATCTCGAACATTGGTTCGTTAGCCTCATTGTTCATTACATTTCAAACTCGGATAAACATGTAAACTGATGGAACACATTTTTCTGCTAAAACATATACATCTAGGAAAAAACGGATATCCGTGTGACTCAATGTTTAAGTCAAAAGAGGAACTGGCTGGTAATATTTTTTTTGATTTGGTTGAAAAACTTATTATCCAATAAGTTGATTAGTTAGCATAGTTATACAACACAATATCAGTTTAGTCATACGCAAATAACAAATAATTTAGCAATGATAAACACGGTTTGTTTTGTTAACTTGCTTACCTTAGTAAACGTTGATACATCAGTATGTTCAAAATCAATGTAACGAAAAGTGTTACGATTGATACTCTTTGATTGGCTCTTAGCAATAATTTAGTGAAATTATAAAACATGTTTATTTTTCTTTACGGGTTTACTTAACAGCAGTTCGTGTAAATGGCAAAATTAACATAATTGCTCTAATTAACATCTATTAGTTTAATAAAAATAAGTGCTATATCCAACTGATTTCAAAACAATAAATAAAATTAACCGACAAGTTTTATTCAAGTATTAACGTATGGTCATTATAGGTTTATTCACCATAGACTTGAGAAATTTATTGTTTTCTAAAGTATTAAATTACGGACTCTATCAAATCACGACCCTCGACGTCTAGACACCCTGACCCTGGCACTAAAGAAACTCGACACAACATGGAACTTAGACACCTAAGACATTTTGACCCTTAAAATAGGCTGGACATTTCGAACCCTTATATCGAACCTATATAAACGTTATAAATGTTCATTTTGCAGTGTTGAAATAGATACATTAGTATAGGGTAATGCTTGTTTTTCCGTGTTATAACGTCTGCAGAGTCCCGAGGAACAGTTGGTGCCCGAGCCCGGTAGGGCGAGTTCCGACAGACTCTGCAGACTTTAAAACACGAAATAAATGTGCGTAAAAATTTAAAACAGATTCAGGATGAATATTTGATACAAAACACATACATTAAATCTTTGTGCTTGAACGGTATTTAACTAATTAAACATGTTTTATGTAATACTATGCGTTTTATTTTTTCGGGGCCAACAACTTGGAAAATACAAATGCTTAGAACCGAACGAAATTTCGAATTTTAATTGATTTAACAAAGCTTAACATTGGAGATTTATTAACTCAAGAACAAACATTAAATAACTCTACCATAGACAAAACATGACCCTCAGAAATTCCCAGAATGATTTCATATTGACGGTAGAGTCAAAAGGTCAGTGACATCAGAATTGTTTCTTTTTTCAAGCACACAAGTTTCAAGTTTATTAAAAAAGTCAGGCACTAAACATTATTCTCTCAAAGAAATATAAAGAGTGTTTATCTACATAAACATCAATAAAACAACATTTTTTTCATATTCATTTTGTGTTATCTTGTTTTGTAAGTTAATCGGAGGGTTAAACTGAATGACAGATAATTGTTTACATTTACAAACTATCCGTTTCTTAGAAAGGGCGACAAGCAAGATTAGCGGCGATGTCCTTACGCCGTATTTCCGGCATAGTAACTTAAATGCTGCTCGCCGTTATGCGATTGAGGTCCTCGAATTAATAATTTCAATATAACAAGAGCGCATGACTCTTTGGCAAACATGCCAAATCATCATTTTTTGTTTGTTTACTAGGCCCTGTATGTGTTGCGCATATGTAAAACAGAGCTATAATAAGAGCGGGTGACTATGTTAACACATGGTTTTGATCCCGTTATAACATGGGCAAAAGAGGGAAAAATAGCCGATTTTATGCCATAATAACGCACGTTTTTCATTGTTATAACGTCTGCAAAGTCCCGAGAAACGGTTGGCTCCAGCAGCTCCGAGGGACATTACAGACGTTACAACACGGACAATTGTACGTTGACGCCTTTATAGGATAAAATTTTAAACCACATTTAAAGCAAAAGAAAAACTGAAAAGCTCGGGGAATGTATTTGCAATTAGACAGCATTTATCAAATTCTCACGTCGTTTTGGCAAGATGTATTTCGTATGCATTTTATTATTCGAAGACCAACAACTTCGATAATACAGAGCGGAACGAAATGTCGAATTTTGATTGGTTTAACAAAGCTTAACATTGAAAAGAAACAAAAGAGAATAACTCTACCCGAAGAAGAACATGTCACTCAGACATTCCGAAAACGATTTCAGATTGATTGTAAAAAAAGTTTGGGGGGCATTTTAAACTAGATTTGTGACTTGATATCAGAGCCGTTCATGAAAGCATACAAGTTCATTAAAATTTGGCACTTAAAGCTATTCTCACAAAGAAATAAATTGAGTATATTTAGAAACTTGTTGTCAATATATACAACAAGAAAACAACTTTTGCTCATATTTTTATTGTTTTTCCCAAGGAAATTGCTGGTTTACATAGATCTCATTTTCCAAAATTAAAGCGCGTTACGTGACGGCAAAAGTGCATGTCTTAGCTACGACGCGTTATACATTAAAGGCCACCTACTGATATATGTTCATTGGAAGAAACACCAATATAGTAAGCTTAGTCCACTACATTTTGAATTGCTGAATTTTAAAAGCTTTAAATCAAAGAAGGTAGTAACAACACATATTCTATATGCTCAAACATATTTGATGTATGTTAAGCTTAGATATTTAGCGTAAAGTATCTCTTTGTTGGCATCTACAAAATTTATATAAATGTGCTTCGGTGGACAATATTGGTCCTGCCCCAGGTGTCGAAGAGATAGAAAAAACTTATTATCATATTATGTATTCTCATGTAAAATTAACAATCCCAGGTCTGCTATTGTTACAAAAATCATTTCACTGATATAAAAAAATGGCTGTACCCAGTCGGTCTGGCACAGTTTACATGTACACAGATTTGTATAGTATACATGTTTTAGAAGTCTTTTCCTCCAACATAAACATGGAGAAAATAGATTTTTAGCATGAATCATCACTTTGTATAATTATCAGTTTTGTGATGGATGCTTGTGTGAGTGTTGATGTTATAAATGTAAAGGGAGGTAATAAAAAAGAAGAAACTTATTGTTAGCAAAGCATTTTGATTAAATATAATTTTAGGCATAATATGCTTTTGAATTTCTGGTATTATATTATTTATATGTTTCTTTAAATTCTTATCATTTAAAAAACAACATTATTGTATTTTCAGTCAGTATATGTACTCAGTGACAATTGCATGGAGATAAATAATCACCACTCTGTGCTTCAAAATTAGTTTTAAGGGCATGTATCGGGTCTGTTCTCCACTGTGGCATATACATGTATAATTTTCACTAAGTATCCATGTGACTAGAGCATAGGTCTTAGGAATGTATCAATATAGATCTTAATATACATTTGCGACATAAAGTGGGGAACGATTGCCGACGGACAGTTACGCTAATAGCGAGGGGTCATCTCAATACATACTATGAACACTTTGTAATAAGGCCAATGTATTTTATTTTTGTTTCTTTACCTACATTGTAATTATAATTTCATTATCAGTCACTTTCAGAAGAACTGATACTGAGTTCCCTGAGTAACTTCGGCACTTTCGCTTTAGAAACCTGTTGTATACTTCATGGTTTTCTCTAATAAGCGTAGCCAGTGGTCGTTTAGGGCGATGAGGTGCATTTATATTTTCGTCTTCGGATGATAAGCTCTTGCAGATTGAGCACGGACGTCTTGGCGAAGTTCAGCTGGAGTTCTACGGCCTTGATTGTGCAGTTCCCTAGGAGCTGGACCAGGTTCGGGCTCTCCAGGTACAGTGCGGGCTCGAAGCTGCTGGTCAGCTTGGTCGTGTTGACCTGAATTGATACCTCTGTTTAGGTCTCTCAGAGGAAGACCTAGCAATGGCTGCTGAGTCACAGCAGCTGCAGCTTGCCCTTAATTAAGGCGCCTGGTGGGTGGTCCTGTCACTCGAAGCTTCACCCAACTGTGGTTCGGCAACATCATCAACTGTTAACAGCCGTCTTTCCAGACGCTGTACGGCCTGGAGTGCCTCTCTGGAATTATTTTAAAATATGATTTTAAAACACATCTGCGGATGTTTCTAAATTCAAAATTTTACTATTTCACGTTTAAATGTTGAATTCTGCTTAAGCCGGTGCTAGGGGGCGTGGACGGTAACTTGCACTTTCCAGTACCGTCCATGAACAGGCTCAATCAAACCGAGCCTGCAACATTTTCAATTTTGCCGTGTTGGGCTTTCTTTAGGGATTCTGTATTTATCTATTTTATGATCACATCCGTGTTATTTGTGCCGTGTGGCGGCTGTAAAAAGTCTCCCCGTACATTTAATCAATGATGTTATATTTTCGATCTTTGAAGATCGTTCAGCACGACATTATTGTTGTGCTTGTGGTATTTTTAGTTTTAACTTTTCGGCATTTTCTAGTTGGGTGGTTCCAATATTCCTATTTGAATAATGTTGAATCACCCTTAGGATATGTTGCCTGCTTTTTAAATTTGTCTTTTGACGTCTTATCTGTGATACGCAGGCTTCATAACCTCTGATCCCCTTTCAAAATTCCATTTTATTTAGTTCCGCCCATTGTTTTCTCGTTTAGGGCACACGCTTTTTATAACTTGGGGACCATACGCCGCTTTTCATGGAATGGCACGGAAGTGTCACATTGAAGGTTCCATGATAACCGCCGTATGAACACATCTGCGGATGTTTCTAAATTCAAAAAAATTTATTATTTCATGTTTAAATGTTGAATTCTGCTTAAGCCGGTGCTAGGGGGCGTGGACGGTAACTTGCACTTTCCAGTACCGTCCATGAACAGGCTCAATCAAACCGAGCCTGCAACATTTTCAATTTTGCCGTGTTGGGCTTTCTTTAGGGATTCTGTATTTATCTATTTTTTGAATAGTGAAATTGATTTGGAGGTAGATACTGAATTGGGAGTTTAACTCGAGTTTCAACAATCGCCAGATCGTGGTTGTCCGTGTATTGTAGGATCTGAGCTGGCTATTTTCTTCTACCTTTTTAATACTGGGCACAAAGCCATGGAGCAGTCAGTAACATTTTTTCACGTTTTTGGTATGACGCGGCTTGAGCTCGTAACCTCCCGCACCCGACCAAAAGTGTAATCGAGCAGTCAAACATAAAAGAAATGATAGGTAAACATCAAATTCAGCATGCTATTGCATAAGATAGACATTAACGTTATATTTATGCTTTAAATGCTAGATTATTGCACGCTGTCTAAATAAATTTAGATTTTAGGGTAACTGACAATTGATGTAAATTCTTATGTAACCTTATTTGAAACTAAAACGATATGTAAATGGCCTTCAGTCAAAAAGTGGTCTGATATGATGT